ATATATTTGGATTGGAATCCGAACCAATCAGCACAAATAATTTTTATAAACAAAAACTGAGATTAAAAGATGATGAACCAGTCTACACAAAAAACTACAGAAGCCCACACAGTCATGTTGAAGAAATACAAAAACAAGTCGGAAAATTGATAAAAGACGGAATTGTTGAACAATCAGTATCTGAATATAATAGCCCATTATTACTTGTACCTAAAAAATCAACCCCAGGCTCAGATCAAAAGAAATGGCGATTGGTAATTGACTATCGTCAAATTAATAAAAAATTACTGTCCGATAAATTTCCACTCCCAAGAATTGATGATATTTTGGACCAACTTGGTCGAGCAAAATACTTTTCATGCCTTGACTTAATGTCAGGATTTCATCAAATTGAACTCGAAGAAAGTTCAAGAGATATAACGTCATTTTCAACGAGCAATGGCTCGTATCGCTTCACGAGATTACCGTTTGGTCTAAAAATAGCGCCTAATTCATTTCAAAGAATGATGACTATAGCATTCTCTGGATTAGAACCTTCACAAGCATTTCTTTATATGGATGACTTAATAGTTATAGGTTGTTCCGAAAAACATATGCTTAAAAACTTAACAGACGTTTTTGAGAAATGTAGGAAATACAATCTAAAGTTACATCCAGAAAAATGTTCATTTTTTATGCATGAGGTGACTTTTCTTGGTCATAGATGCACAGATAAAGGAATACTTCCAGATGACAAGAAATATGACGTCATCATGAATTACCCAGTCCCGCACAATGCGGATAGCGCAAGACGTTTTGTAGCCTTTTGCAATTATTATAGACGATTCATTAAAAATTTCGCCGAATATTCCCGGCACATAACAAGATTATGTAAAAAGAATGTTCCTTTTGAATGGACAGAGGAGTGCCAAAATGCATTCCAATATTTAAAAACAAAACTCATGGAACCTACTTTACTACAATATCCAGATTTCAGCAAGGAATTCTGTATAATAACTGATGCAAGTAAGCAAGCGTGTGGAGCGGTTTTAACTCAAAACCATAACGGAATCCAACTTCCCATTGCATACGCGTCAAGAGCTTTTAGTAAAGGAGAGAGTAATAAATGTACAACTGAGCAGGAATTAGCTGCAATACACTGGGCAATATTACATTTTCGACCATATATTTATGGAAAACACTTTACGATCAAAACAGATCACAGACCTTTAATATATCTGTTCTCAATGATCAATCCGAGTTCTAAACTGACACGTATGAGGCTAGAGTTAGAAGAGTACGATTTTACAGTCGAATATTTAAAGGGAAAAGATAATCATGTAGCTGATGCGTTATCAAGAATAACCATTAAAGATCTACAAAATATTACAGGAAATATAATGAAAGTCACTACGAGATATCAAAATAGACAGAAAATCCGCGCGGATAAGAAAGAAATAGAATTGCCTAGGCAATCTATAGAAAAAGCTTCAAAGCCCAACGTATATGAAGTCATAAACAATGACGAAGTACGTAAAGTAGTGACCTTGCATGTAAGGAATACTCTATGTTTATTTAAACATGGTAGGAAGATTACTGCAAGATATGATGTTAGCGATTTATATACCAATGGAATCCTAGACCTAGGTCAATTTTTCCAAAGGCTTGAAATGCAAGCCGGTATAAACAAAATCAGCCAACTCAAAATGGCACCGTGGGAAAATATCTTTGAACATGTTTCAATAGATAATTTTAAACAAATGGGCAATAAAATATTGAATACGTTAAGAGTAGCGCTACTCAACCCGGTGACCCTTATAGAAAAACAAAAAGAGAAAGAAGCTATACTGTCTAAATTCCATGACGATCCAATACAAGGAGGTCATACCGGCATTGCAAAAACCTTGGCCAAGGTCAAAAGACATTATTTTTGGAAAGGTATGACTCGAAATATTACTGAATACATACGAAAATGTCAAAAATGCCAATTAGCTAAAATAACAAAGCACAATAAGACTCCATTGATAGTAATTGATACGCCAATAAACTTACTACCAAAATCAGAAAATGGCAACGAATATGCAATCACTCTAATATGTGACCTAACTAAATATTTAGTTGTCATACCAGTTCGAAATAAGAACGCGAACACTGTCGCTAAAGCAATTTTTGAATCATTTATTCTAAAGTACGGTCCAATGAAGACGTTCATTACGGATATGGGAACAGAATATAAGAATTCAATTATAAATGATCTATGCAAATATTTAAAAATTGAAAATATAACTTCTACCGCACACCACCACCAGACAGTCGGAACAATAGAACGCAGTCATAGAACTTTCAATGAATACATACGCTCTTACATATCGGTTGATAAAACTGATTGGGACGTATGGCTTCAATACTTCGTTTTCTGTTTCAACACTACACCCTCAATGGCACATAATTACTGTCCATATGAGTTAGTGTTTGGTAAAACAAGTAATTTACCAAAACAATTTAATAGTATAGCTAATATAGAAACCATATACAATATAGATGACTATGCTAAAGAAAGTAAATATAGATTAGAAGTAGCATATAAAAGAGCAAGAATAATGTTAGAAAAAAATAAGGAAAATAATAAGATATTATATGATCAGAAAGCAAACAACATAGATATATCAGTAGGAGATAAAGTCTTGTTAAGGAATGAAACAGGTCATAAGTTAGATTATAAATATACTGGTCCGTATAAAGTATCGGAAATAGAAGATAAAAATAACGTTATAATAACAAGTAATAAAAACAAAAAACAAAAAGTACATAAGGATAGGTTAAAAATGTTTATTTCATAATTGTGTTTAGTATGGCCATGCTAAAACAAAAGCACTATTTTAAATTTGAATATTATTTGTAATTTCATATAAAAAAAAAAAAAAAAAAAAAAAAAAAAAAAAAAAAAAAAAAAAAAAAAAAAAAATAAAAAAAAAAAAAAAAAAAAAAAAAAAAAAAAAAAAAAAAACTATTCATTTGTTACTTAAAAACTAATTTCTTAAGCACATCGTATAAAATAACTCCATAATATTACGTTATTTTTCAAAAGGAGGGAGATGTAGTATGCATACATATTGAATGTCAATTGAAACTAGAGTACTTAAAGAGTACGCACTGTAACACTTTGTTGCTGTGTTGATGTAAACATAAACCCGGTCTTTAACCCGTGGCCGAAATATGGGTCGGTCGTCGCTCTCCCAGAATATGCAATTGTCAGCTGTAAGGTGGCCTTTTTGCCCACCTTACATTTTTGGCATTATAGCGGTCGAGGTTACTGAAATTTGTAGTGAGTAAGTTAGCATTAAGATATATTTGTAGTGAGTAAGTTAGTAGTAAGATATATTTGTAGTGAGTAGGTTGGTAGTAGGCCATATTTTGTAGCAAGTAAGTTGGTTAGTAGGTTATATTTCGTAGTATGTAAGATAGTGAATGGAAAAAGAAATGAATTGGATTATAGTCGTTAAGTTTATATTTGAATTATCGATTGTTTTGTTAGATAAGTAAGTAGATAAAGGTATCATAGTCGTTAGCTTTAGATAGTAAGCAAAATTCAAATGAGTGGGCGGGCACGCGATCAGCAATGCAACCATGCAGCTCGAAAGCTCGCGGTGGTGAATTGCATTGCTGGTCGCGTGGTGAAATCTGCAGAGCGCAAGGAAAGGCTTGAAAGCTGCGCGCAGATTTTAATTAGTTTTGAGCGCTCAACGCGAACGGTCGATGTCGAAGAAAATAATAAGCGGATAGGCGAGGGGTAGGAAACGCGAGGTAATATGGAATAAAAATGTTAACGTATTTAGAAATGATTGTGTTCTCATTCGTAGTTGATTTGGTAATAATAACCCACTAATAATCTTAACATTACTAACCGGTGGTTAGCACGAGGGCAATCCTGTGCGCCAGACGGCCAAAACTCTGGCACACAAAACCGCGTGGTCTGGAGTGAACGCCGGCGTCAACGCTGGGCGTTCCTCGATCTGCGGTCCACCAGTTGTAGTAGAATAGCCCCACTAACACCCCGCAATATGCCTTTGTAGCCCCGACCCCAGCAATCTAGAGTGCGCTTGATCGCGCCACTCGATCGCTGCAGCCATCCCACGTGCAAGCGTGTGCGGGCGTGGTCGGCGAGTTCGGGCTGCGCGGCCATTTAATACGTAATAACTCCCCCATCCTCTCCCATTTCTCTAACTCGTAGTCCCGTAGTAATTTACAAATGTCTTGTAAGTTGTGGCCCTGGGCAGACTGAAGCTCTGACCCCGGCTGGAAAATTCGAACTTTACACAGCATTCTGCTGAGACGCGCCGACCACTTGACAGAACTCAAGTGTATGCATATGCACAATCCGATGCTTTGGCGCCTCTTCTCTTGTCTGCTCTCTCTTTTCCCTTTTGTTTGTTTAAGCAATCTAAGTCTCTTTCCGAGGATTCACCAACATCACCTACCAAGTCCTGAATGTCTTGTCTCTAATGATTCTGTTAAACATCAATTCCGACGGGGCTGCTCCTGTGGTCCCATGCGATGTGACGTTGTACATCATGACGAAGTTTTGAATCTCTTGTTTATAGTCTTTCCCTTTCGACCACGCGATTTTTAGGCGTTTTACTAAAGACCTGTTCATATTTTCTACTTCGCCATTCGCCTGTGGCCAATATGGTGGAGTCGTTATTTGGGTAATACCGTTGTTCCGGCAAAAATCTTGAAATTCGAGACTTGCGAATTGCCGACCGTTGTTGGTTCTCAGCGTTCGTGGTATTCCCAAACGAGGAAATATCTCCTGCATTTGTTCGATTAATACTTTCGAAGAGATAGTTTTAATAAATTTAAATTCCATGTATCTGGAAAAGTAGTCGATTAACACCAGTACATGGTCGTTGCTTGGCAAAGGGCCCAGTAAGTCGGATGCGACACATTGCCAAGGGCCAGCTGGGAACGCATGTCGATCCATTGGTGCTGGTTTATTCGCCAACGATACGGAGATGCAATCTCTACAGGCCTTGACAAAACTTTCTGCTTCTCGGTCGTAGTCTCCGTTTCATAGCAGATTCGCCCGGATGACCCTCGTGGGCTAGCTCGAGCACTTGAGATCGTAGCATTGTTGGTATGACTATTTTGGTTCCGTGTAAAAGTACATTGCCAACTGCCGATAGCTCCCATCGGAATGGATAATATGGACTGGATGCGTTTGCCTCCCATGAGTTGGTGCTAAGGCAGGTCATTGTATCAATTATTTCCTCGTCCTGCATACTTTTGTCCATGATTTCCGATATGGTTAGTGACTTTGGTACCCCTTTTTCTACAATTTGAAGGATATTCTGCTCATCTTGCCAATCAAAAGCTTCCGCTTTAGTTATTTGGCAAAGACGCGACACGGAATCTGCGATATTTTCTTTTCCGGCTTTATAAATGACTCGAAATCGGTAAGACTGCAGACATAGCAACCAGCGTTCGATCCGTGCCGGTGGTTTCGAAGTTGGTTTGAAGATGGATTCTAAAGGCTTGTGGTCTGTTACCAGATCAAATTCCAGTCTCGCTAAGTAGCGTAGTAAGCCAAACTTTCTTTCTCCGTTTGTGAATATCTTTTCTCCACGTCAGTTAGGCTTTTACTGGGGAACGATACGATATGATGCACGTTGCTGTCATCAATCTGCACTAGAACGGCTCCCAATGCCACCGGGCTTGCATCGGCTATGAGACACGTACGAAAATTTTTATTAAAATATGACAGATTTGTTACTTCGACGACTTGCTTCTTCAAGATATCGAAAGCTCGTTGTTCCTTGACGCTCCATTCGAATGTGGTGTTTGCCTTTATTAATCTTCTCAATGGCTCAGTCGTGTTGGCTAGATCTGGTATAAATTTCCCAACGTATGTTACGAGACCTAGAAAACTTCTTGTCTCCTCCTTAGTTTTCGGGGCCCGGAAGCCTGCGATCACTTTTACCTTCTCTGGATCCGCTTCAATACCATGGTCCGACAGAATGTGACCTAGGAATTTGAGTTTATTAGTTTTATACACACATTTCTGTTCGTTCAGCACCACGTTGTGGGCATCAAAGATTTTCAGAACTGCTTTCAGTGCCTTGTCGTGCTCCTCCTCGTTTTTGCCAAAAACGATGACATCGTCAATATAGTTAAGAGCATTTGAACAGCCTACTAGCAATTCTTCCAGCCGCCTCTGGAATATTTCTGGGGCCGAGTTAACCCCAAAGAATAATCTTTTGTAACGAAATAGTCCCTTGTGTGTAATAAATGTAGTGATCTGCCGACTCGATTCGTCGAGCTCCAATTGGTGATAGGCATTTCTCAGATCCAGCCTAGAAAAGTATTTTGCCTCTCGAAGCTTGGTCATAAACATGTCGAATGTTGGCAGTGGGTGATTCTCTCTTGAGATGGCTAGATTCGCTCTTCGCATATCCAGACATAGCCTTATTTCTCCGTTCCCTTTAAATGCAGCTACCACTGGCGAAATCCATGGGCTCGGTCCACGAACTGGTTCTATGATATCTTGCTGCACCGCCTGGTTTATCCTTTCTGCGATTTGGTCCTCTAACGCAGTCGGGAATCTGCGCATTGGCTGCTGCACTGGTCTCACATTGTGGTCAATGGCCAGTCTCACAGGTGATGCTTTCCATTTGGGAAAACATGTGTGAGCTTCCACTCTATTTACGTTTAAGCCAAGTTTTAGGACGTTGAGTTGCACGGCTGTGTCTCGACCCGGTAACGATTGTCTCCCATTTTCGATTACATAAAATGTGGCAATAATTTCTGGTCTTTCTTGAACTCTAATCGGGGCTTCAAAGACGTTAACCACTCTCAGCGTCTCGTCCGACGCATAAGCTTTGAACTGGGTAGCCGAAGTGGTGCGAATATTAAACACCGTCGCCTGTTTACGATTCAATCGCAGCCAATCGCCGTGGCTTATCAGATTGTACCGCGATCCTGAGTCAATGATCATCTGCAGGTGGGATCCCCCAACTAGGCATGACACGGTTTCTTCTCCTCCTGGCTCGCTAATCACTTTAAAACAGTTTGACCAACCCTGGCCGCCCTGACTTTTAGTCTCTTCCTCATCGATGGCGTGCACGTGGGACTGCGAGGTTCGCGGTCGCTTGCGTTGATACTCATATGGTGTGCTACGCTGCCTCTTTAATGTGGTTTTGCACATACGAGCATAATGTCCGAACCGGGAACACTTATTACATTTCGATTTCCTTGCCGGGCATGCCATATTCCGTTCATCATGGTCTTCTGCTCCACACCGGCCACACACGACACTTACTTTGTCTTGTCTCCTTGACTGAACCGCGATTTTCTTTACAATCTTGGTATCCGGCTGGATCAGCATTGCCTCTGACTGCTGGTTCACTTGTTCTTCAATGGTGCACATATTTATTATCTCCTCCAGCTTCAGCTCCGATTCCAGTAGCTTCTTTTTAAACGTGGCCTTAGCCCAGGCATCAATTATTTTATCCGCAATGCAGATCTCCTGGATTTCAATCTTGGTTGTTCCGAACGAGCACTTGCTGGCTTGTTGTCTTAGACGCAACAAGAACTCGGTGAAGCACTCACCTTGGCGAGGCGTCATGTTGCGAAACATGTGTCTCTCGAAAACTGCGTTACGTTGCGGTGAAAAGTATTCATTCAGTTTGTCCACCAGTGGAGTAAATACGTCATTTCCGATGTTCGCATCGTATGGCACCAACGCGCCTAGCAGACTGTACACTACCTCTTGCAGCTGTGGTCCCCTAGATGGAGTAATTTGTTTCGCTTTTTGACTACTGACGAAATTTCTTCTGTGCCTACGTAGATATTAAATGACCGTAGCCACTTCTCCCACTCATTGCGCCACAACGATTTTTCTATGCTCGCGCACAGAAATGGTATAATTTCTGTCATTCTACCGATCTGTTTTAGCTTGCACTTTTTATACCCTGAACCCATTGAAAATGGGAAATCAGGGTATAATGGTTTTGTGAAAAGTATGTAACAGGCAGAAGGAATCATCTCAGACCCCATAAAGTATATATATTCTTGATCAGGACGACGAGCTGAGTCGATATTGCCCTGTCCGTCTGTCCGTCCGTCCGTCCGTCCGTCCGTCCATCCGTCCGTATGAGCAAAAGGATCTCAGAAGATATAAGAGCTAAAGAGCTGAAATTTGGCATGCATACTCGTGTATACCATAGGCAGTACGAATTTGCTTTTTTTTTCGATAACTTGTCCGATAACTTTTTTTATCGAGAAGAATCGAAAAATCGACATTGTTTTTTGAGCTTAATTTGAACACTTTTAGACCTGGAGACTTCAAATTTGCGTTGTATATAAAGTTAATGGATACAAAGATTTTGTAATTTACAGATTTTGGACACCACGCCCTCTTCGCCACCAATTTGTAAAAAACGCATTTCAAGTACTAGAGACTTGTGCTTTGGAATGTACACACATTTTAGCCATATGATTACGCTCATTAGGATCGTATGTCTACAAAAGAAATTATTCAACAAATAAATTCTCATAATATTGCCCACACTGCAGTGCAGCCCAAGCGCAGCCGCTGCTAGCTGCGCAGTTTGCCGAGCGCGTGCTTATACGTGCATGTGTATGTATGTGTGCATAAAAGAGGTCCAGAATGATTAGAATATCAGTTTGGAGGGTTCAGGGTATCTCCTAGTCGAGCAGTCTCGACTGGAGCCTTCTTACTTTTTTTTTTTTTTTTGTTTATTGGCGGTGCTCTGTGGAGTGCTGGATGGGTAGATTCGTGTTTAACCTCACTTTTTTTTCAATTGGTAGGCCGCGTTTTCTTTATGTTCTCTTTCTTCTTTTTATACCCTGAACCCATTTTCAATGGGAAATCAGGGTATAATGGTTTTGTTGAAATGTATGTAACAGGCAGAAGGAGGCGTGGCAGACCCCACAAAGTATATATATTCTTGATCAGGGCGACGAGCTGAGTTGATTTGGCCCTGTCCGTCTGTCTGTCCGTCTGTCCGTCCGTCCGTCTGTCCGTATGTATGAACGCGTCGATTTCAGAAGATATAAGAGCTAGAGACTTCAAATTTTTTTTTAAATGTTCGTAATTACAGCGCGCATATCAAGTTTATCATTAAAAATCGATAACTCATCCCGATCTTTTTTATCGATAAAAAACCTTATCGAAAACCAGTTATAAAATTATATCTTCTACACCTTTATTGCTAGAGTCTCCAAATTTTTAATATATGCCTATATGCAATTTATACAATTTCGGTTTTTGTTAAAATTTACCCCCACCCTTAAATTCACCCCCTCACCATCACTTTTGTAAAAAGCGTATTTCAAATACTAGAGACTTGTGCTTTGGCAATTACATGCATATCCATGTCATAATCATAATCTGAAAGTTTCATGATGATCGTACGTCCACAAAAAAGTTATTAAGCAATTAAGTTCTCATAGTAAGCGCTCACTGCCGCCCATGCGTGTTTATGCTTGTATGTGTATATGTATGTAATTGTTTGTGTATATGTGTGTGTGTGTATGTATGTGTGTGTATGTATGCCTGTGTGTGCGTGCGTGCGTGCGCGTGTGTGTGTGTGTGTGTGTGCGTGTTTCTTGTGTAAGCTGTAAGACGCGAAAAATTATTGAAATAGCTATTACTCCAAGGGTTCAGGGGATCTCGTAGTCGAGTAGTCTCGACTAGAGCTTTCTTACTTGTTATACCCTGAACCCATTGAAAATGGGAAATCAGGGGTATAATGGTTTTGTTAAAAGTATGTAACAGGCAGAAGGAGGCGTGGCAGACCCCACAAAGTGTATATATTCTTGATCAGGGCGACGAGCTAAGTCGATTTGGCCCTGTCCGTCTGTCTGTCCGTCCGTCCGTCCGTCCGTCCGTCCGTATGTATAAACGCGTCGATTTCAGAAGATATAAGAGCTAGAGACTTGAAATTTTTTTCCTAGGTCCGTGTATATCACGCGCATATCAAGTTTTTCTTTATATATCGATAACTACTCCCGATATTTTATTATCGATCAAAAACCTTATCGATAGCTAGTTATTTAACTATATCTCCTACACCTTAAGAGCTAGAGCTTGCAAATTTTAAATGTAGACTTATATGTATTTTATATAATTTCGATTTTTGTTGTAATTTACCCCCCACCCCTATATCCACCCCCTCACCCTCACCTTTGTAAAAGGCGTATTTCAAGTACTAGAGACATGTGCTTTGGAATGTACATACACTTTCACCATATAATTACGCCCTGAAACTTTCATTAAGATTGTACGTATAGAAATTAAATTATTCAACAAATAAATTCTTATAATGTTACTACACTACAGCGCAGCCCAAGCGCAGTTAGCAGAGCGCATTCCAATACGTGTGTGTGTATGTATGTGTGTCGAAAAGAAGTGCAGACTGATTAGAATATCAGATTAGAGGGTTCAGGGTATCTCCTAGTCGAGCAGTTTCGACTAGAGTCTTCTTACTTGTTTTTATACCCTGAACCCATTGAAAATGGGAAATCAGGGTATAATGGTTTTGTTAAAAGTATGTAACAGGCAGAAGGAGGCGTGGCAGACCCCACAAAGTATATATATTCTTGATCAGGGCGACGAGCTGAGTCGATTTGGCCCTGTCCGTCTGTCTGTCCGTCCGTCCGTCCGTCCGTCCGTCCGTCTGTCCGTCTGTCCGTCTGTCCGTATGTATGAACGCGTCGATTTCAGAAAATATAAGAGCTAGAGACTTCAAATTTTTTTTTTAAATGTTCGTAATTATAGCGCGCATATCAAGTTTATCATTAAAAATCGATAACTCATCCCGATCTTTTTTTATCGATAAAAAACCTTATCGAAAACCAGTTATAAAATTATATCTTCTACACCTTTATTGCTAGAGTCTCCAAATTTTTAATGTATGCCTATATGCAATTTATACAATTTCGGTTTTTTGTTAAAATTTACCCCCACCTCTAAATTCACCCCCTCACCCTCACTTTTGTAAAAAGCGTATTTCAAATACTAGAGACTTGTGCTTTAGCAATTACATGCATATCCATGTCATAATCATAATCTGAAAGTTTCATGATGATCGTACGTCCACAAAAAAAGTTATTAAGCAATTAAGTTCTCATAGTAAGCGCTCACTGCCACCCATGCGTGTTTTTGATCTGATAAAAGATTACGAAGCTAAGGACATTTATAATGCATGTATAAACCCGTGTTTGCCCGGGTTTAAATAAACACAGTTATTGGTTAGTTAATTTGCAAAGTAATATTTATTTATTCACGCGTCGTTTACAATGATCAGCCACGCTCGCTGGAAGGAAGAAATAGAAGTAGCAAAAGGAACAAAAGTAACAACAATAGTAAAGCTCGCATACGAAAGCTCATTCCGTGGCTTGTGCCGCGGAGCTTTCTGTGAGTGGATCGTCTTCCACAGAAAGCTCTCTTGGTACGGGTCTCCACAATGCATATGAAACAGGGTTATTTTACAAATGTTTGCCAGATCGTACATATTGCTTTAGAAACGAGAAATGTCAAATGCACTTTTCCAATGGATTATCGACACAATAAGAAGGCCTGGATGACGATGGATATATTTAACAAATGGCTTCAGATGTTAAATAACAGCATGGCAGCTAAAAACCGAAACATATTGTTATTTATGGATAATTGTACGGCCCATAAAAGATCGCCTCCTCTTAGTCATTTAAAAATGGAGTTTTTGCCAGCCAACCCCACTTCCAAGCTACAGCACCTGGACATGGGCATTATAAAAGATTTTAAATCATTATACCGTAAGGAAATGGTTATTAATTTGCTAAACAGCATTGAAGAAACAAGTAAGAAGACTAGTCGAGACTGCTCGACTAGGAGATACCCTGAACCCTCTAATTTCGACACACATACATACACACGCACGTATTAGAACGCGCTCTGCTCACTGCGCAGTAAGCAGCAACTGCGCTTGGGCTGCGCTGTAGTGTGGGCAACATTATAACAATTTATTTGTTGAATAATTTAATTTCTAATGAAACTTTCAGAGCATAATCATATGGTGAAAATGTATGTACATTCCAAAGCACACGTCTCTAGTACTTGAAATACGGCTTTTACGAAGGTGAGGGTGAGGGGGTGGATATAGGGATGGGGGGTAAATTTTGATAAAAACCGAAATGATATAAAATACATATAAGTCCACATTTAAATTTGGAAGCTCTAGCTCTAAAGGTGTAGGAGATATAATTAAATAACTAGCTTTCGATAAGGTTTTTGATCGATACTAAAATATCGGGAGTAGTTATCGATATATAAAGAAAAACTTGATATGCGCTAGGCGCGTTGGTGCCATACGATGCGAACATCGGAAATGACGTATTTACTCCACTGGTGGACAAACTGAATGAATACTTTTCACCGCAACGTAACGCAGTTTTCGAGAGACACATGTTTCGCAGCATGACGCCTCGTCAAGGTGAGTGCTTTGCCGAGTTCTTGTTGCGTCTAAGACAACAAGCCAGCAAGTGCTCGTTCGGAACAACCAAGATTGAAATCCAGGAGATCTGCATTGCGGATAAAATAATTGATGCCTGGGCTAAGGC